CACTCGCCTCCCCCCAATTTCTCCTCTCCTCCACCAAATGCCCCCGGTGGGTCCCACCTCCTTAATGGCTTAAAAGCTTCATCACATTTTCCCACCATTATTTTTTTCATCTTGCTTGGTTCCTGGCCGTCCGATCATATTACCGGTCGGGGGCTTGACCAGTCAATGTGTCGCTGCGTGCGACACGTTAGTCTTAGATTAAGCCCAAAAGAGTGGACAAGCGACGACTCAGGTGGGGCGTTGACACGTGGTCACCTCCGGACATTCTCGCTGGACTCTATTCTGCTGACATGGCGCTCACGTCAGCTCCACAGGCCTTCTTCTTTCTTTTTTTTTCCTCTCTGTTTTTTTTCTTTTTTTAAAATCTTAGGATTTCTTCTCCCAACGAGATCTCTTGACTCAGAGATTAGTAATCTTATATTCGAATCTCCAAAGAAACGAGATCTCTCTTTGTAGGTTAGACTATCGCTTATATTCAAAAAATCTTAAATTTTTTTTATAAATTTTTTATCATAGAGTTCTTCCGATGTATACCTTTACAACTACTATCACCTACCTCCATATTTTATTTATAATTTATTTTTAAGCACGTCATTAATTACCCTAATTATAAGAATAGTATTCTTACCACATTTCTATATCACAATTTTATACCAAATGATGTGGTATCTGATGTGCACATACAACATATGCTAATTAATGTGATTATCACCTTTTTTTATATTAAAATATACTTTATTGATTTAATTGATGTGATATATGATATGAACATGCCACATCATGTAGTATAGAAATGTGGGATAAAAATGTGATAAGCATTACTCTAATTATGATTAATATTCCCTATAAATAGCATATGAATAACCCCTTTTTTTTTGGGTGAAGAAATGGGGCTAACCCCATTTATTTTGGTTGGCATTCCCTCTACACATCACCAATCTCTAAAATGTCAAAGAAACAAAAATCCCCCTAAATTACATATCCAATAAATAATGTGCCTATAAAAACTATAAATATGTATATAATATAGGTACTTTATTTAAAATTTGAAAAAATCCATTACTTTGTAATTGAAATTTCTGTAAATGTTTGTATGAATTAAAAATAGGTACATTATTTACAACAACAAAAAAAGGTTTTTTTGTTGTTGTCAAAAAATAGGTACATTGTGTAATTGAAATTTATGCACGTTTTCATATATATTGAATAAATTTTTTTTTTTTAAAGAACAAACTTACCTTAAAAATTCCTAAATTTAAGCCAATTTAAAACACCATTTTCCTATCTAAAAAAACACCATTTGAATATTAATGACATTGAATTGTAACAAATATGTTCAAAGTATATTCAGCACAATCAATGGAGAAAACAACAATTGCAAATACATAGGGTATTTTGGGAATATACAAATTACAATAAATCAAATTTTGAGCTTGATGAGGTGGATCCTAGTCATGAGTTTTTACTTATAACAAATGGGTTTTATTAATAGGAAAAAAAAGTGATGGATTGCAGTTCAGAAAAATTCAATTTGAAGGGGGTAAGCCAAATTTACTATTGTATACGGGATTTCTTCTTCTTTCTAGTAAAAGGTTTCATATTATACCCTTTTTTTTTCTTTATATTTGAATGAAGATAAACAAGAGTTTAACTTCTACCATAAGTATGAAAATATATGTGCTCAACTTGAGCTGTAAACAAACTTCATACTTTTGTGTGGGATGCGACTATTTAGAAAGTGCTTCACAAATAATTTGGCAGTTTGGTTAGAATGCCAAAAATGACAAAACTATTTGGTTTTGCACTTTACTTGGTCGTGGTGATGCTCTTAATATATATATATATATATATATATATTCATAGAAAAGATTTAACTTCATTTATTTTCTTCTTATAGAAATGTTCTACAACTTTAACAATAAACCTCTATTTCTTGTCGCATTAAAAAAAACCTATATGCCCTTATATGATATAAAACAAAAACAAAACTATAAGCCCTTACGTGGCTGTGTGTGGGACTATTTTAAGAATCACTTTTGCTGGCTTTTTTTAGAATCACATAAGAAAATTTATGAAAAGCGTAAGTGCTTTATATATATATATATTCATATGGACGCACTTGGATATGTGTTTTTCCAAAAAGTAGTGAGTTATTCTTTAACCTTAAAGCTTGAATTATCAAATTTGTGTACAATAATGTGTCAGTACACATATCAATATTTTACTTACTGAAAATAAATGAAGTTCAAAACAGATAAACATTTGAATAAATAAAATATTGTAACATCGTTAAAGGGTCCATAATTTAGTGGTAAGGACATTTGTCTCGAGATCAGTGGTTTCATGTTCTAATTTCAATGACGTCTCCCCCTCCCCTTTCAAACTTTGTCAATCGTTGCTTGTTTGAAGTATAAAGGGAATTAGTTAAAGTCAAATGAAAGCAATATTGTCAAAATGGTCCCCTAGGCATGGCATTGCGTGTGGTATGAAGTATTATCTTTGACCCTTAGATTTACCTTGTAATTTTGGACTTGTTAGGTATAGAATGTTATGGTTGCTTACTACTAAACCCTAAAGTTCCATGTATTTTTTTCTTAGTGTTTTTGTGCCTTCCTTATAATATCTACTTAGAAATCATTATCACTGTCATTTTAATTTGCAAGCAACAAGTGAACCCATATATTTTCTTTCTAGGACCAGTCAAAAAAAAAAAAAAAAAAAAAAGAAGAAGATATTTTGTATAATGTTCCAAACAACCTTTTATTATTATTATTTTTTCGTTTATTTTCAATAAATAATTATAGGCAGCTTAATTTGCTTTCGTCCTTATCTTGTTTAAACAAAAGTACATAAAAAAACAAAAAGATTACCAAAGCCTTAAAGAAAACATGCAATTAAAGTACACAAGATGAAATTATTTTCTCACTACATATGGCATTGGAAAAAGTTAAGTCGTCCTTGATGTCTGTGGGTGCGTGCATCCTCTTCTTTTCCCCTTTATAGGAGCAAAGAAATCATGTATGCCAAAGTGCCAATGTAAACATGGCAATCGCTCTCCAAACAACTCATGTTATGATTAGAAATTCTCCCCAAATTTGCAAGGGAAGATGAGCCTTTTCTGGCTTTGCCGTCTCATGCCCACTAAGGTGTTTTGTTTTTATACTTACATATATGAACTTCCATTATATCATTCTACTTATAGTACTAATTGGTATGAATGTATCTTGGATGAGAGTCTGTTTTTCCAACCCACTCTTCTAAGGATTAGGTTAAGTTTGCTTTTTTATACTTTTGTTTGTATTATCAAAAATTCAATCTTCTTAAATTATCACTTTCAAAAAGCATCACACTTTCACACATCTCGAAACACACGTGTCTAACGATCTCGAGCCATCCTATATGTTACAATGCTCCTAATCCTTGAACATTACGACAAACATTACGTCTCTGCATATACATGTACGAATGTATTTTACCAAATTAAGATTATCCAATGTAATAAGGATGGGAGTAAGGAAATTTCTTATCTTAATGAATTAAGATCATCCAATTGTAGGATCCAACTATCCATTGGGTTGAGCTTAATTAATACCCAAATTTCATTACCACCCCATAAATTTATTTTTATTTTTTGGCCCTGAAAATTAACAGAGATTAATTAACTCTAAAATAACAATCTTAATTCTTGCATGATTTTGCGACGTTGGACTAGTCTCAGCCGAAGAAGTGGTGCCAAACACACTGCCGCAGAGTCAGTACGTGAAGGCACAGGCACTGAAGGTCCAAGCAAACACGTGTCGACAAACCAAGTTGGCAGCCAGCTGGGTGGTCCCACTTGGATACTTGAACAAGTAACCCCAAATAATTTTTACCGTACACAAGACCACACACTATTCTTCTCCCTCCTTAATAAACTCGCGATTCATTGACTTAAAAATATCACGTTCATCTCGTGGTTACGCCGTTTTCCAATTTGGTTTACCGGGCAAGGAAGAGATATTTAATTGGCTGCCGGTAATTTGCGAAACATCCGTACTACAAGCGCGCATGAAAAGAGTGTACTCGCCGCGGGTTTACCGGATATTGCCGGTTTAAAAATGGTTTAATTTTATGAACTCCAGTGGCTTTTAAACGCCTTCAGAAGGTGGCTTCTAATTCTAAATGTGTTTGTGTTGTATTGTAATTAGTTCTAGGCCAGCTATTTCCGTTTTTTCCTTGTACGGCAAGGCCACCTTTGGTTGTGCGCTTTCTCCCCAAAGACAAGGAAAAATAAAAGGAGGGGTTTAAAAAAAGAAGGGTTAAAACCTTGAGCTTGCAAAAGTCAAAATTGATATGGAAGGAGATGATTCATTTTGAGATTTAGTTAGTGGGGTTTCCATGGAACAATGGAATTGGCCAATTGGGTATGGGATATTGGTTTACAAGTCTAGACTTGGAGAGCTACTTGATGGGAAGTTGCTTCACTTTTCTTTGGATTTTTTCACCTTGATATTTATGTTGTTGATAATGTGAGGATGTTCCTGTTATGTGCTAATACTGTGTGACACAACACTTGAGTTGAAAAAAAAAATTACGTGTCTTCAAATTTAGTGATAAGCTTTTGTTACTTAAATAGACATTATATCTCAATACTGCCTCGTGAAAAGAGCAAACCCTGATAAATTTTTATGACAGACTGAGATGTTATAAATTCATGCTCTTAATTGAATGTATGATGCTCATTAGCAGTATAATTATGTAACATGTCAGATGAGATATCCAGTACTACTAACCATAAAACTTATGACCAAAAAAAAAACTAAGCATAAAACTTGTATATTGGCGTTGAATGCATTGAAACTCCATGTTTTTATGTGTGAAATGAGCATGTTCAGAAAAGGAAAACAAAATGATACCAAGGTTGCATTTTTACAGTTATGCCCTTCATAATATTGCTCTGTTTACTTTCTAATCCCTATAGCCTATAGGTGAAGCAAAGCCACCTCCATTTCCCTGCTCTATATAAACACCGGTTCTCCCTTTCTTTTTCCCCCACACCTAAGCCATCATCTTTATTTTATAACAGCAACAACTATCTCTATCTCCATATACTCTCTCTCTCCTTTTCCTCTCTCTCATACACACTTTCAGACCCATCTCTTTCTCTCATTTCAAACTACAAAAACCATGCCTGAAGCACCAAAAAACTCTTTGAATCCCTCAGTGGACTATTATCTCCAAGACAAAAACGAGAAGGCCCTTCAGTTCATTGAAGAAGTCACAGAAAACGCCGATGAGGTTCAGAAGCGTGTGCTTGCTGAAATCTTGGCTCGCAATGCTCATGTTGAGTACTTGCAGCGACATGGCCTTAATGGTCACACTGACCGTGACACTTTTAAAAAAATCATCCCTGTCATCAAATATGAAGATATCGAAGCTGATATCAACCGTATTGCCAATGGTGACACCTCCCCAATCCTCTGTTCTAAGCCCATTTCTGAGTTTTTGACAAGGTGGGTTTTTGTTATCTTACACATTTTCATTAATCATGATCATCAGTTAATTAATTTGGTTGGTTTAGCTAAATGGGTTTGTTTGTATTTTCATTGTAGCTCTGGGACATCTGGTGGAGAGAGAAAATTGATGCCAACAATTGAAGAGGAGCTTGAGAGAAGGTCACTGCTTTATAGCCTTTTGATGCCTGTGATGAGTCAATCTGTGCCTGAATTGGACAAAGGCAAAGGAATGTACTTTTTGTTCATAAAATCAGAGGCCAAAACACCCGGGGGGCTTGTGGCAAGACCAGTTCTCACAAGCTATTACAAAAGCTCTCATTTCAAACGAAGGCCTTATGACCCTTACACAAACTACACCAGCCCAAATGAGACCATTCTCTGCCCTGACTCTTACCAAAGCATGTACTCCCAACTGCTCTGTGGCCTTTGCCAAAACAAAGAGGTCATCAGGGTTGGTGCTGTTTTTGCCTCTGGGTTCATCAGAGCCATCAGATTCCTTGAGAAGCATTGGCCTAGTCTCTGCAGGGACATAGCCTCTGGCACTCTAAACCCCCAAATCACTGACCCTTCAGTGCGTGAGGCTGTGATGAAAACCCTCAAGCCTGATCCAAAGCTTGCAAATTGCATTGAAACTGAGTGTGGGAAGAAGTCTTGGCAAGGGATCATAACAAGACTTTGGCCCAACACAAAGTATGTGGATGTGATTGTGACTGGGACTATGTCACAGTACATTCCCACACTGGATTATTACAGCAATGGGCTGCCTTTGGTTTGCACCATGTATGCTTCTTCTGAGTGCTATTTTGGTTTGAATCTCAACCCTTTGTGCAAACCCAGTGAGGTCTCTTACACCCTCGTTCCCTCCATGGGCTACTTCGAGTTCCTCCCAGTTCAGAGAAACAATGGGATCAACTCCAATTCTCTCTCTGTCCCCAAATCACTCAATGAGAAGGAGCAACAAGAATTGGTTGATCTTGTTGATGTCAAGCTTGGCCAAGAGTATGAGCTTGTTGTCACAACCTATGCTGGTAAGTGGTATAACTTTCTTTTTCTTTTCTTCAACTCAACTTGGGATGGGACTTGATTTTTAGTCCTTGACATTGATTTGGTACTATTAATTCATTGCAGGGCTATATCGTTATAGAGTTGGAGATGTGCTGAGAGTGGCTGGTTTCAAGAACAAGGCTCCACAATTCAACTTCGTATGCAGGAAAAATGTGGTCCTAAGCATTGATTCAGACAAGACTGATGAGGTTGAGCTGCAAACCGCAGTGAAGAATGCTGTGAGCCATTTGGTCCCATTTGATGCAACTGTCTCTGAGTACACAAGTTTTGCAGACACATCAACAATCCCAGGCCACTATGTGCTGTTCTGGGAGCTTTGCCTTAATGGCTCAACCCCTATCCCTCCCTCAGTTTATGAGGACTGTTGCTTGGCCGTTGAAGAATCCCTCAACAGCGTTTACCGGCAAGGCCGAGTCTCAGACAAATCCATTGGGCCCCTGGAGATCAAGATCGTGGAGGCAGGGACTTTTGACAAGCTCATGGATTATGCCATTAGCTTGGGAGCTTCAATCAACCAGTACAAGACACCAAGATGCGTCAAATTTGCACCCATTGTCGAGCTCTTGAACTCGAGGGTGGTCTCAAACTACTTCAGCCCCAAGTGCCCAAAATGGGTTCCAGGCCACAAGCAATGGTGCAACCTTGATTAGAAAGGAAGGAAAATAAATGAAGGGGTCTTAGCTTTATCTGCTTTTCTGGCCTCTTAATTGATTTGTTGTAGCTGCTTTCATGGAGGTTCACAAGAACTGTTTTTGTGATCATCTTTAGGGAAAAGTAACAACTACCCATTTTAGGTTAACCTTTATGCTTTCATGTTCATCTTTTTTTAATTTACTTTTTTGAAGTTTTTAGCGGCTGTTTAATTAATATGCATAACCATGTACAAAAACAGTTCCTGTTTCAACGAAGCTCTTTTTTTTTTTTTTTTTTCTTTTTTTCTTTTTTGCATTAATAATCATCACGTTTCATGGGAATTTTGATTCTTAATTCCAGCCAGAAATCATGCCCACTGAAGTCTCATGTGCCTTTTATACTAAAACGGCACTCAGTGAGAGTCTCATCAGAAAGCCAACCTCTTCTCAACTGCTTTCTTTTTATCTCTCTACTCTCTCTCCCAACCAAAGGTCACCAACTTTTCCCATAATTTATGTTGCAATTGAGTTAAACACCTTTCTAAAGATAAATTACCATATTCCGCATAATGAGCCCCAACAAAAGGCTAAACGCACAATATTAATCACATATTTTTTTTAAAGTTTTTCATTAGAAATAAAACCCTTTTAAGTTGTGAGATTTAATTTAAGAAATTATTTATAAAATTTGGATAAACTACAGTCTTGATAGACACTGTATGTTGAGAGATGTACATATGGTCACCTCCAATTTTGGATTTATATATTATAGGAACAAAGTTATGAAGCATTCAATAATGGATTGTGACAAAATTGCATGCAATAATTTGGCATTATTATATGTGAGTGTTTGATTTGAATTTATCCGGAAATTTGGCGCAAGCAGTCAAAAGACAAGAACTGCTTGCTGCTGCTTTGGTTTGGCATGGCAGGGAAGGGCAGATGAGGTCGAAGCAGAGATTGTTCCCTGTTTAGCCATTGTCTTTCATAGCAAACAAAAACAGTTTTGGTTTTGAATTAAAAAAAAAAAGATAAATAAAAAAGATAAATATATATTTTCTTTTTCAGAGTATCAGCCAGACCAAATCATAATAGCCCCAGCAGACAAACCCAGAAAAAGATGGAGACAAATTCAGAGACAGAATTTCAAGGTCTCAGATAAAAAGAAAAAGGCTTTTTTCAGAGGCAGTACTGGTGAAGAAGATAAGGTTATGCCTTTTTCTTTTCTTAATTTTCTTTTTTTCTATTTTGTGCTGTTGTTGTTGCTGTAGTGGTGCAAGCAACTGTATCATATGGGGCTTTGTCTTGTTCATGAATTTCCCATTTTCCATAACAGATTGAATCAAAGCAAATAAGTGGTCGAGCACCAAAGGCAACTACACTGTGTCCACTCCAATGCCACCCAACACACTTTAGCCGAGGAATTGCTTACGGAAAAAGCTGATTCATGTTTATGCATGTGGTTTTGTAATTAGTGACTAAACCAACTTGTAAAAAGTTGATTATAACTTTCTACAACTTTTAAAATCTGTGCAACTATTGTGTTAAACGGAAATGGAAATACGTGCGGTTGAGTTTCATAATGAGTCTTATATAGATCAACGACTATTATAACATGATCCGTTTTGTTGTTACTGATAGTAACATAATTTAGAATAAAATTATTAGCTAGTTCTAACTGAGGTGGGCCACTTTAATATTACAAAAGAGAGTGCAGTATTTTTCCTTAAAATATCGGAACACAAGATAGTCATTCTTTGGGCATGTAAGTCATGATCCATCCTATATTTTGAAAAAAAAAAAAAAAAAAAAAAAGATGTGGTCATAGATCCTTATTTAGATCCTTACTTAAGGACCCTGTTAGAGAATAATTCCATATCCTTGTTCTTTATCTTATGAGGACATTTTGTCCTTTACTTAAAATTCAAAAACCAAAAACCTTATCATGAACACCAACTTTGAGATATAATTAGTTCATTTTTCTCACAATCATCAATGAATAAAAACAATTTCAAGAACTCAAAAACAATCTCACTCATGAGATAAATCACTGGCACAGGGAAATTACAAGCCCTGCCCCTGAGTCCTGACGATTTTCTACAATTCCTCGTGTAACAGCTGTGGAAATTCAAAACCAAAAAATCGGCGAGGAAAGTGCCCATTCGACGAACCGACTATAGACCTTTATTTGTGGGTCCCGCAGTCCATGCAGTACGACAAGCGAGGAGCATAGAATACCTGCTCGTCTTCAAAGGGGAAGGGGGACCATGTATGAGATCTCGACACGTGGCAGTGAAAGCAGCGTTGACCTGACGTGTTGGTCTCTCTCTTTCTCCTGCTGCTCTAAAAGAGAAGGCGACTTCGGGGCCCACCTGGTTGGGCCAATGAGAGTATAGAAATCCACGTGGGACTGTCGTTATGAGTTTTGCTTTGGTCGGCCCCAACATGGAGGATGCAAACTCTGGTAAGGCACAGGAATCGGGTGGTGGTGCTGCCACTGGAGGAAGGTGGTCTGTCGTCATTTGGTGCTGCCACGTGGGAAAAACATGTATTGGTTGATGATGTGGCAGAAACTAATTGGATAAGACATTTTGCTCCTCCCAACTCTCATTATCGAATTATCCAAATTAAGTGCAATAATTTGAATTTGAATTCCTTTTTTCATTTTCCAATATTTCGTTTGAAGAAAAATACAGATTTATGAAGGAAAAAATGGATGATCAATGCTCACCCTAAATGTGGAGTAAGTACTTCACTACTTGAGCTATGAAGTCCTATCTTACAACAATATTGGATTTCGTTCCGTGAGTTAGATTATACGGCTGAATAGAATTCATAATCATAGTAAATTATTTAGTGGCATAAAAATAATTTTGGATTGGAATATTTGTAATCTCACTAGGCCTAAATGTAGTACGATCATGATCACATATCTGTTTCAACTAATCCGTAGTTAATTTCATGATTTCTGTTAGTGTGAATCTCACTAAAATTATGTTATATTTCTACTAATTCGACTCCTTATCTTCTTGAATCCAATTCTATCTCATAATCCTATCCAATTCGACTATATTTCACAATCAAAGCATAATGCAAAGAACAAAAATGGAGCATACACAAGTACATGATTAGTAGCAGAAGGGAAAGAAACACAACCATCAATTAGAAGCCGAATGGGTGAGTGAGGTACCAAAGCAATTATTGAGCAAAATGCGATGTGAGATGGAGATTGAAAGACATATGAATAAGAGAGGAGAAAAGTTTTAGCACTGAAACAGAAATTACACCGTGCTTTTTGCGACAATTTATCAAACAATGATGGGGATAGCAACCAATTTTATAAACTAGATTTGAAGTCGATAATGAACCAAAGGTGAAAATGATGGTAACCAGAGCGTGATTGATTGACTACAAAGACAAGATTTAAAAGAAGAAAAAAAGTAATTGGGTTGTTAACCCTAGGATTAGGTGTGGAAAATCTCACCTTAATTACATTGAGTCAAGGATATATCCATGCATTACGTCATGCATGTAGAGTGTGTAGATGTGTAGCATACAATGACTCAATGAGTTTCACATTGATTAATGGCTAGGGTAATTAAGTCAAAGCGATAAACAACCAAACATGACACGTTATATTAGTATCATGCAAGGCACGTTATGACACAAGAACCTAGTTCTACTGTTGATACGTTGAATTTCTTGTCGACCTTATTAAGACACGGAGAAAAACCTATTCTACATACTTCTTTAAAAAAAATTATTTTATTTTTTATTCACGTGAGAATATTCAATCAACAAAATAAATTCGTTTTTTCTTATAGCAAGGATATGTGTTACGTATTCCCACAAAACACGCATTCAACCATATCTACTAGCACATGGTGCATTTGTTTGCCATTTTAGTGAGACCCATCTCTCTCTCTCTCTCTCTCACTATCTCTCACTTGAAATTAAATTAAAACATGAGAAGTCAAAAGTGGACTTAGGACTTGGAAATTAAATTTGTTTGAAATCAAATGGACCCTCCGAAAAGAGCAGAGGAGAATGTGTCGAAAGAAAATACCACATAATATTATAATATTATTAATGATTGGCTCAAACTCAAAGGGGCAGGGCCAAAAATGGACCCCCCGATTCGTTTAGAGATCCGAAAATGGCCCAAACTTCACGTGAAATGTCACGTCCCATCCGACTAACTAGAAGGCGACGGCCCAACTTAGGTGGTTTTGGTTACGGTTGTGGAGCGGGGTCCACTTCCCCTCCCATATCACCTCACACGTGGGCTGTGGGCCCCTTTCAGGGTTTTAACCTCCCCACCCGCACGTGAGGGCATATCTGATTTGTTTTCTTGCCGGGCTCACTTTATGGGGCCTCTTGGGTCGGGTTGGGCCCATTACTAGCTCATCAACAGTGTCGCTGTTATTATTTATTTGTTGCTGTTACTGCTCTGCTGCTGCTGCTAGGGTTTTTTTTTCCTCTCTCTCTTAATTACAATCAGTAGTGGGTTATAGCTGTTTCCTAATCAGGCTTATTATAATCTCGTTTCTGTATAATTGCTCCCTGATAGTCAGTAATCTCCAATTATATATGAGATAATTATGAGCTGCTCCAGTGATGCAACAATGCACAAAGAAAAAGAGCGCTCAAATTGGTTAGGACAAGAAAAAGGGTTGTAGAACTGTAATTCAACGGAAGAATTTGGCTGACATCAATCGCGCCACTAAAATGCGTGCAGATGAATATAAATCATTGGTTTGTGTGGAGCTCTTCATTCAATTCGTATTCTTCAATCTCTATCAATCATCTACGTGCGCGTGAACGACTGACGCTAGCATTTCTCTTAATTAAGCAGAATGAACGAGAACTAAAACATTTAACAATTAACAAATGAGATAATCAATAATGCAACCACATAGACACCTAACTCCATGTTGACATCACATTAATTGGTTGGATATATAGAAACCAATTAATTTTTTTGCCTTAATTTCAACTTTTTGGACTTTTAAGTATCTCTTTTTTAAGCGTCATTTAGAGAAGATTAAGCAATCATTCTTATGGATTGGTCAACAGTTCAAAACTCCTCAGGTCAGCACTGCAGTCTCCACCCATCACTCAAGTCACTGGAAGAACATATTCATTAAACAAAAAGCTTTGGTTGGATTAGCTTTCATCACCAATATGACTACTTCAGACATTCTGCAGCACACAACTGACTACTTTTTTCATGTATTCAAATGCCTTATATAGTGATCTCACTTGAAGATTATCATGTTCGTCTTACAGT